AAGAAATGCAGCCCCTCGCGCTCTCCACAGAAAGAGGAAAATACAGCCTCTGTGTCGTTACCTCTGCCGCGAGGGTAGAGCGAGCTCCTGTCGCTTTCAAATCCATCCGAGCAAAGCTCGGTACTTTTTACATTTTTATATTTGTCGTCTGCATCAGCTGTGATCTGGATGTACCTAGACATTTAGTGCATTTCTTTTCTGACCATGCCTCTCGGCGCCTGTCCCCTCCCTCTTGGATGCCGTCCTACTCTGTACCAGCATCGTAATGGGCACTTCAGGACACTGTCTTGAATTTCCCAGCGTGTGGGGTTGATTTCGCAAACACCATTTTAAAATGATGAGACTGGAGTTCAGAGAAAGTAATCCCTGACCCCCAGTATCACACACAGTAAGCGAAGGGGCCGGAGCGTCCATCCTGTCTTCCCCGTGGCTACAGGCCTTCCTGATAGACTTTAGGAGGATACACTCTTTCTTCCTTTACTTGGAAAACTTCATAAAGATGCAGAAACAAGAGTTCTCCCCATGCAAAGATGTTGTTTCAAGACGCTCAGGTTGAAGAGGCTGTCAATGACGACAAAATGAGTCCAAAATGTGTTTCATCGTCTTTTAGGACCTCAGTTTATTCACGCTGATGGATCATTGGCGTTCTCCAAGTGCCGGCCTCGAGCTGAGACTCAGTGAACACATTGTGCCGCCGGGTGACGTGGCAAAGCTGAGAGAGAGAGAAATGTGCTGTTCATGGGAAAGGGGCCTGGCCTTCTGTTCCGGGTGGAATTAAGCTACTGAAGAGAACTTTACCCCAAGTGTGTTCCCAGTTGCCATCCTAGATGTTCCCAAACAAATGTTCTTTCCTGCCCCCCTCTGCAAACGGAGCAGAGTAGCCCTTGCAGATGTGGAACGGGGGGCAGTTGACACTGACTGCAGCTGCGGCTCCCAGCCCCCCAGCCCGCGCCTCCTGGGGCTGCGTGTTGTCCGTCTTCCAGGAGCTCAGGCTGGCGGGGCTGCTGGGTAGGGCCTCGTCTGCCCCTCACCCCTACACCCCTAGCACAGTGCCTGTCCCACAGTGCATTCGGCAGAGGGTGACGGAAGGAGAGAATGAATGAGTGAACCACTGAGGGAGCCCATGAGCAGACACGGGGTCCCCTCTGCCTTCGATCCAGCAGGACGCGACAGGTGGCTCTTTCCTTCTCATCTCCGCTTGCCTGGTCGTGTGTGTTAGGGGGAAGCAGGGGCCCGAGGGGGGCTGGGGAGCCCTGCAGCACACTTAGCCAGTCTGCACCCCAGGTGCGGCCCCCCTCACGGCCCTCTGCCCACGCCTCTGACCGTGAGCCGCCTGCGTCCTCCGCATGTCCTCTGAGCCATGAATGTTCAAATGAGTGGAAAAAAAGCAGTAATATCAAATGAGGGCAGGCACGACTGAGCCTTCCAGCAAAGCTCTCCATGCCAGCTTTAAGGCAAAACATAAACTAAAACAAACGCCTTTTTAGGAGAAGCTTTCTGCTCTCTGGATTGGGCTGTGGTTTAGCTGGCCATTCCCCAGGGGTGCCACCCGCCCACCTCCCAGCGGCCCCAGCGCGGTGCCTCGGTCCTGCTCCGTGACTCGAGCACGCGGAGGCATTCTATGTTAGTGAGGACTAAAGTGCTTCTGAATGCCATCACGTGTTAGTATCACCAGGGAACAGAGAGCTCATCCTGTGATGTACTTGAAGACTAGGACTTGGTTCCAAATAACGGAAACCCAACTCAGAAAGGTTTACAAAAGAGGGAATTTATTGAAAAAGTCCAAGAGTTGACCTCAGACCTGAGTAGATCCAGGTGTTCAAAGTATATCAATAGGATTCTGTCCCCTTCCACCATCAAATCTGCATTTGTTCCAAAAACCACAACTGTCCCCCAAGCGGTGGCAAAGGTGGCCCCGGGAGCCCCGGGCTTTGACTCTGCAGTGGAGCCAGCCCAGCAGAAGGGGAGGACCTCGTCCCAGGAGCGCTAGTGAGAGCCCACCCCCACCCTGATTGGCAGGTCTGTGTCATGTGCCCAACTGCCCATGGCTGTCAGGGCGTGGGGCCAGCCTTTCAGAACAAAGTAGAGTCAACTGGGGAGAAGGGGACAGCATCTCACATGAAAAGAAATACGCTTTGTCTAAAGACTGAGGCGCGCAGTAACAGCCGTGCCCTGCCAGGGCCACGCGGACCTCCTTGGCCGCAGAGCTGAGCCCCGCAGCGGCCCTGCCTGGCGGTCAGCTGCTCAGGGAGCAGGGCAGCCTGTGGCAGGGGGCCGCCTGTGGCACTGCATGTCTTCTGTGCTCTCAACGCTGTGAAATAAATCACACGCCCAGTGTGATGATTGCTAAGGACAAAGTCTTCTGTGTTTGTTTTTTTTTCCCCTTTTCTGCTGTATTATTCTAAATTCCGAAAACAGCTTTATGGGGTTTTTACAAATGGCAGGTGCTTACGGTAGTAAAATGCGGTGGGAAAATACACTGAAGAGAGCCAGCCGACTTCACGTGGGCACGGCGGAGCTCCCGTTTCTGCTCCGTCTCAGTCACCTGCTCCTCTGGGTAAGGCGCTCGACCCCCCTGCGTTCCTGTTGCTCATGGGTTCAAATGGGACTCATCCTGTGGCGCCGTCGTAGGAAATTACTGAGCCCCCCATGGCTCATGTTACATCCTTTCACCCTGAGCAGCTGTACATGGCGCTCACTGTCATCAACCCCATTTTCTAGAAGAAGACGAAGCTTAGAGGGATTAGGTAATCTGTTCAAGGTCACAGGGGTAGTAAGTGCCCCGCCCAGCACCCAGGTGCTCACTCCTGGTGCTCTGCTTCGTGAGACTGAAATCACGAGTCAAGGAAGACGTTTGGCATAGTGCCTCAGACAGAGCACTCGGGTAATTGCGTTTAGTTTTATTAAGATGATGGTAAATGACATATACATAAACATATTGGAAAGAAGAAACATAATAAACAATTTAACAAGTAATTGTTAATTAACATGTTAATGCATTGACTTTCTTATGAATAATGAGTCATGTATAACTGAACACGAGGTACAGAGAAGCACTGATAAAAATCTGGTGAGACCCTGGCCGGGTGGAACATCATCACATACAGCAAAAGGCTGTGGGTTCGATTCTCGGTCAGGGCACATACCTAGGCTGTGGGTTTGATCCCCAGTTGATAGCATATGGGAGTCAACTGATTGATGTTTCTCTCTCACATCAATGTCTCTCTCTCTCTCTCAAATGAAAAACATGTCCTTGGGTGAGGATTAAATTTAAAAAGTCTGGGGAGAGAAAATGTGAGTAAGAGGATAGAGGCTGCATCAGCATGGTGTGGTGTTTCAGGGTGGTCAGGAAGGCCACCCAGGGGGGCTGACATTTGTGCAGAGCTCCATTTGGAAGCCAGGCAGACGACTGGCAGGCTTGGCTTTGGGGTACATGGATAGGAACTGGTGGGCAGGCATGTGGGGGCTCCCCCAGTGCCCCAAAAGGAGGCTCCACGGCAAGGTGTTAACACCGCATTGAAGGCCTAGTCCTCCGCAGGCCGGCTGTTCGCGGTTTTCAGAGAACTGCTATTTCTGTCCTAGGAAAAGCATCCTTGGACCTCTTGTCCATTTGTCTGTGGCTGGGAGCCCAGAGGAGCCCAGAGGCCTCCCTGTTGTCTACATAGGCATTGAATGCGCTTTCTGAACACTGTCTCGAAGTGCAGGCCTGCTGTGTGCGCCCCCAGCGCCACGCTGGGCCTCTGTCTGATTCGTGGGACAAAACTCTCTCTGTCGCTTTCAGTTTGCCAGAGACTGTCTGAGTCTCTGATCCTGCCGTCATCCTCACCCTTGGTTTTTAGAGAGTTCTTCCCATTGGGTATCTTCTCACTCTTCCCTGGCCTCGGGGAGGACGTTCAGCGGTGTGTGCTGCTTCTCTGTTGAATTAGCAGCATTGTACTCAGCTTGCTTTGCTGAAGTTTCTAAAATGAGTATACATGATTACATCCATAGTAAGAAAAATAAAATCAAAAGCTGTTCTTTTTTGTCTGTTGATTAATCCTCACTCAAGGATATTTTTTCCATTAATTTTTAGAGAGAGTGGGAGGGAGGGAGGGAGGGAGGGAGGGAGGGAGGGAGGGAGGGAGAGAAACATCAATGTGAGAGAGACATATTGACTAGTTGTCTCTTGCACATGCCGGGAATCGAACCTGCAACCCAGATATATGCCCTTGACTGGGTATCAAATCCATGACCCTTCTGTGCACGGGCCGACGCTCTAACTGCTGGGCCTTACCAGCCAGGGCAACAAAAGCTCTTGTTAAAGTGAGGAGGATTTAGGAATATGGCCTTGTCCGCCGAGGAGGGAGGGATCGCGTCAGGGTTTGTACGGACGGTCACAGCACTGACCGGGCGCTGCTCTCCCACAGCGCTTCAGGCTGGACGAATAGAAGGCTGGAGAATTTTGCCATAAAGCCTTCATCTCACTTGTGCTTTTCTTTTCCCAAGATGAGTGAGAAATGTTGCTAATGTGGCAGCAGTATCCAACGTGAAGCCTGCTCCTAAACAGATGTATCAGTGCGTGGCTTCAAATGGCAAGCGTGGGTGAGCTTGCTCTGAGGTGGACTGGGGTGCGTGGTCCCTCTGCGGGTCTTACCTGGGGTCACTCATGCATCCAGTCCACTGGCAGTGGATGGGCCTCTTGCCAGCCGGGGCAATAGGGGTGACTGGGCCAAGTGTCTCTCGTCATCCCAAAGACTAGCTGGGGCTTGCCCGCGTGGTGATGGGTTGAAGGACTTCCACCAGCAGTGAGGGGGCAGCTGCAAGGCTCAAACACACACAGCATCGCGTCTCCCCCTCTCCGTGGTCGGCTCGTCAGCCAGGCCAGGTTCAAGGAGTAGAGACGCGAGCACACATCTCGACGGAAGACCCTACGAAGCATCATGGCAACCTTTGCCCCCGCCATTCAGCAATCCTATTTTGTCATTCAGAGTTTCCCACGAATAATTCTGTGTTTCCTTCAGGCTTCTGAGAACCCAGGCTCTGGAATGGTTCTACAGTAATGTGAAGAGCCGCTTCAAACGCTTCGGCAGCGCCAAGGTCCTGAAGAACCTGTACAGAAAGCACCGGCTGGAGAGCGGAGCATGCCTCGACACGCTGGGTACGCGGCGGCCTCTTGTCGGGCGTCCTGGGGGGCTGGGGGGATGGGAGAAGGCTTGCTCGGAGGCCCGCGTGCTGGGCCATGCTCACCTGGGACAGAGAAAGCTCCTTCAGTATCCGGCCCTAGGGAGAAGCAGAGATAGGACAAAAACCAAAGCTTCTGTTGAGTTTTTAGTCTTTTGGCTCCAGCATCCCCACTGAGCTGGATATATTAGGAGCTGGGAGGACCAGAGGATTTCTGAAAATTGTGGACATTCTAATTCTGGATTCTTTGCATCTTTCCCTAATGATTAAAACATTGGAAGATCCTCTGGTCGGTTGTGTAGACTAGGTCTGCACTCAAAGGATCTGAGTCCACTTTCCTTTCTTCCCATGCCAAAATTCTATTTATACCAGCCCAGAATGTGCTGTAAGGCTGTTTTCTCTGTCTAGAGGAAGATGTTTTTTTCGTCACTTTGCTGACACAGGTAAATGTTTTCATCCATAAGAAGGGGGGCATCTCCTCCATCTCATTTGGAGCTTTTTCACCATCATTATTTTGTATTCTTCATAAAGACTCCGGTTGTGTCTTATCTAAAAATATGCCAGCCACTAAAGACGGGAGACGAGAGGATGGAAGCATTCGACACGGGGAGTCATTAGCTCCTTTTGTGGTCGTTGTTAGCATCTTTGTCCTCCAATCTGCTCAGGAAGCCAATGGCTAAGAGAGCTGGGCCCAAGGTTGTCACATGTTATTTTTATCTTCTCATGATGGGTTTTTCTAAAAAAAAAAATTGTCTCTGGGAATGGAGGCAGACACAAAACATGAAAAGTAGTGGTGTTCATAGTAGTTTTTCAACCCCGAAGATATTTCTCAAGGAGGTTCCGGAATAGAATTGGCTCGCTCACTCTCATCCCATCTTTTCTTTCTTCTCGTACATCCTCTTGTCCGCTTCCTGGACCCCTTTCCATCCCCAAATTCAAAACCCACAGGTGCGCTCCACTGCTCCGTGCAAACAGAGGGGAAAGCACGCCCCCTGGAGACTGGAGCACAGAACACAACCCCGAATTCTCTGTCTCTCTCCCCACGGCCCCGCCTATCGAGCAGACGTGAATCCGGGAATCCCGGGTGCGCCAGCTCAGGGCTCTGGAGTCCTCCAGTGTCATTGTCGAAGGAGAATGGGTGCTGGGAGTAACTCTGCCATGACGGAAGCAGCCGTGGTCCTGGGCCCCCTGCGGCTCACCGTGTCCTTCTCGGGGCCCAGCCACAGCGTTGATCACACTGCAGTCGCCGGTGGCTGACGTCGCTCTCTCCTGCTGGACCTCGTGGAGACAACAGCTCCCTCATCTCTGCTCCCACAGCAGGGCGCAGTGCCTGGCATCCACTGTGTTCTCCATGTTGCCCTAACTAGTTCAATCTTAAAGCTCGTGGGTGCCAAGACACTTCCTTTAATGTGATTGCTTTAATATGATTGCCATCTGCATTTTCATTGGGATTTCCTTTTGATAAACACGAAGACAAGCTGACAGGAGACACTTTATGAGATGGTGCTCAAACCTGTAAAGCCATGATCATAAAACAAAGCGATTTATTCTACGTGCCACTTAGAAAATGTCGTTCCCCCTCAAGTGCTCACATGGCCTCCTGGTTCTTAGATAACTGGGGAGTCAGTACCGTCATCTTCTACCTACCACCCAGTACCCTTGTACATCTGCCATCCTCAATCCTGACCACATATTAGAACCTCCTAGTGAGCTTTGAAACAAAAATATCCAGTGCCCACATCATCTTCCATGCCCAGTCAGTACTTCCGAATCTCTGGAGGTAGCCCAACAGATATTGTTTGGAGCACTGAGGTTACCTTCAGGCATAGCCGACCTCACTGCAGTATGTAGGACAATTCTGAATAGATGGTTCCATTGTCAGTTCATCTAGGGCAGTGGTTTGCAACCTTCCTGGTGCCGCGACCCTTGAATACAGTTCCTCATGCTGTGGTGACCCCCCAACCATAACATTATTTTTGTTGCTACTTCATCACTGTAATTTTGCTCCTGTTATGTCTTAGGCGACCCCTGTGAAAGGGTTGTTCGACCCCCAAAGGGGTCGCGACCCACAGGTTGAGAACCGCTCACCTAAGGGCTGTTATTCTCAGGACTGTGGCTGTCGGAAGGTACTACACAGCCTGCCCAGCGAGCCGGCACGTGCTGTGCCCAGAGCTCCTCTTCCACGGACCCTGTCCGCCGCGCGGACCCCTGCTGTCCGCCCCCAGAACGGTCCTCTGAGAATTCATTTAGTTCGCAGACTCTCGGGTCACCTCCCACATGCACTGCTCGGCCGCCATCAGTCCCCCACTGGTTAACCTCACTCCTTCTGAATCAGCCCATTTCGGGGGACCAGGGTAGGCCTGATCGAACACCCGTTCGTTTAATCAGATAAGTCTAAGGTTTATTTATTCCGTCAGTAAACATCACTGAATGCCTGCTATGTGCCCGCCTGGTTTGAGAGTCAGGTGGAGACAGGCAAGACCTTCTCAGAGCCGACATTCCAGGTAGATGAGTAAACACATTGATCTTTGAAATGTAATGTCCAGTGGTGATGGCTCCAGCATGACATTGTTCAGTTCTAAAAAGAAGCACTACAGGAAAAGATCAAAGTAGCCATTAGTAATGTTCTTAATCCCCAGACAATTGCATAAATAATCGATATGCTTATATTTAGCATTGGATAAATGAAATGGGGACAATAACCACTGCTTTTATTTATTAACACTATAAATCTATTTTTGACATGTTTCTTGAAAAGGCCTATTGTTACATCTTGCATCTGGGATTTGACTGACAGACGTGGTCTTCTAAAAATGCCGAGCCATGTGAAATCAGGGGTTCCTCCAACTCATGAATGATGTGACTTAACGTCGCCTGGCCGCTGTGTCAGGCTTTCCGGACGGTTCCATCGCTTTCTGCCCTGGAAAAGTCTCGTTATCCTAAACAGCACTCCAGCTCCCTCCTGCAAAGTTACAGGAAGCAGGGAGCAGTGTTTTACCGGAGGATTTTAAGTCGTGCAGAACCAGAGCTCACGCTCTGGCCAGCTCAGTCCTCCAAAGACGCGTTCAGGTCTCCTGTCTCCTTATACGCCCCCTAGCTCTCGGTTTGCAACAGACGACCTCCCCTCCTCCCTCACAGGGTAGACAGTGGGCACCTCTGCCTCCGATCCCTGTCACCTTCCAAGAAGGTCTCAAGGTCACTCACCCCTTCCTTCTTGCTGCTCAGCCTCTCTTTTAACTGGGTCCTTCCCATGGGCTGCAAACACCCCCAAGTGGCTCCCTCCACTTCCCGCCCTGCCGGGCTCCTCCCTCCACAGGCACGCTCCAGAGAGCGGGCTGCACGTGTGGCTTCCTGCCTGCCCTTCCTCACCCACACCGCCTTCCCTCCCTCACAGCAGCCAGAGTGCACCTGGAAGGCCAGCTCCGTGGAACCTTTACGGCTTCACATGGATCAAAACACTCGTGTGGCGCCCACCACCTGCATGGGCTGTGTCTGCAGGTCATCTCACCCCCGGCTGCCCTCCTCTCTGCCACCCGGCCCCCTGCGTCTCGCTCAGGCCCGCGGTGCGCCCTGCTGCCCTCACTCCTGCCTGTGCAAGCTTTCTGCTCTGCCTGGACCTGCCCCCGGGTTACTCTGTGTGGTTCAGTCTTCCCTGCTGAACACACACTATACTGTGAAGCGCCCAACCAGAGCAAGTAACGTATCTTACAATCCCATGTTTATTTATGTAAATCTCTGATTAATCTCTCCTACTAGACTGTCAAGTTTGCCAGGGCCATGAGGATCTCTGCCTTTGCTCGCAATATACCCAAACACCCTAACACCCAGTCCAGGGCCAGGCGCCTAGTAGGCGTCCATGGACTATTTGCTGGATGAATGAATGAATGATGGACGTAGCCAGGCCAAAGGGAAATGTTTGCATTTAAATGTATAGCCTGGGAACTGAGGAGATGACTTATCCTAAAGCCTTATTTTATAAGTGGGGAAACTGAGACCCAGGCAGATAACGTCACTTTCTCAATGTCTGTTTCTCCTCCTCCCCACCCCCAATCCCACCCTAGGAGGAAGCTTTTTTGAGACAAACCTGGAGAATGAAGAAAGTGTTTCAGGCAGTGACTCAACATTTTATAGGCAGTCGGAAGGTAAGGTTGATTAAGAATTTGCAGCTAGTGGGAGGTTGGAGGAATAGAAGCACCTTCAGATACAGCTTCAGGGTCTTCCAGCTGCACTGTAACCACGCGATACAGCCATGTGTTGCTGTGTGGGAGTCTCCATGGTCTTCCTGTTGCCGTGTGTATGAATCCGTCATCCGAATAGATGAGTAAATCCTTGGTGTGGTCTGGAGAAAAGCATTCGCTGCCCAAGCACTGAATGCTTGATGATCAACGAGGGGGTGCTCTGGAGTTGGAATATAAAAATCAGTACCTATGTGCAATTCGTATTAAACTATTCCTATAAAGAATGTATCCCTTACTGATTAATTTCTACTTTTTTATACCAGTATGATAGTTTCCTCAGAGCAGAGGTTAAAAACAAAAACAAATTCCTAGGTTCCCTGCCTCTCTAACACCCCAGCTCCTTTGCGAAGCGCTGGGGTGAAGAGCCAGCGCCCCCCGCGTCGCCTTCGCACTCTTCTGCGCACTCTCGCTCTGTTCCTAGGGTGCTTCTCACCCTTGCCGCCTGAAAGTTCTCCACGGGCTGCCGCGCCCCTCGAGGAGGCTCGGTGCACCTTGGCTGACTGCTGAGCCGGAGGCATGGCGCGGATTTCAGCTCAGGGTTCCAGACTCTGGTTTCTAATGCTCAGCCATCAGAACCTGCAGGTCCTCCAGGGCCTCAGCCTCAGCGCGTCCTAATCATGCTCCTTGGCCATGTCGGTCCACTCGCACGTCATCTCTCTCTCGACCCCTCTCCCTGCTTCCAGCAGTCACCTATCAGCTCCATTTCTGCTTCGATCCTTTTCTTTCTATTTGGAGACCCGTAGCCTTAGGACCTCCCTGCCCACAACTTTCCTGTATTAATATTTCAGTGACCGTCTGTATCAGTCAAGGGTCTCCAGAGAAACAGGGGCAGTGGAACACACACACGCACGCACACACACACACACACACACACAGAGATTTATTTTACTTTAAGGACTTGGCTCACACATGTGGGGCTTGGCAAGCCTGAAATCTTTAGAGTAGGTCAGTGGGCTGGAAACTCAGGCAGGATTTGATTTCCTCTCTGGGAAACCTCACTGTTGCTCTTAAGACCTTTCAGCGGATCAGATGAGGCCTACCCCCGTCTTCGAGGGTAATCGTTTTTAGTTAGAGTCAACTATTGTAGATGTTCACCACATCTATAAAATACCTTGAGAGCAACACCTAGAGTCGTGTTTGAGTAAATAACGGGGCATGATAGCCTAGCCAGGTTCAAGCATAAAACTCATAATCTCGCCATGTAATTGCGCACTGACCTTCGGTCACCCTGCCCTCTTACCCCTCCTTTAGACCCCTGTGGTTTTTCTCAGGGGAACACCAGCCTGCGCCTTCACTTTCAGCCGAAATATCTTCAGTGTCCACGCCGCCCTCATCCAAAAATCATACACGTGGCACCCACAGCCTTATTGATTCTGGCTCCAGGCTCTGACTGTAGGAATGTGTGGACCTTGGTGACCATCCTGTCACAGGGTCTGTGCACACCTCTTAGCAGTCAGTTATGCACCTGTTCGCCCAATAGCAAAGCACCCAGGGTGTTGACTCAGCTTGTCCACCGGGGCATCACTGGGGCCCTCGAAGAGCATAGTTCTAGGGAGGTAATTGGTAAACTTGGACGCAACAAGAGTTTGTGGGGCACCTCTTCTGCAAAAAATATATTCATGGGTATCTGGATAAAGGGAAATGGGAGTGACCGGCCCATGTGGCTCAGTGGACTGAGTGTTGTCCCATGGACTGAGAGGTCCCGATTCGATTCCTGGTCAGGGCACCTGCCCGGGTTGTGGGCTCAAACCCCAGTAGGGGGGGTGCAGAAGGCATCCAACTGATGTTTCTCTCTCACATAGATGTTTCTATCCCTCTCTCTTAAAAAAAAATCAATAAAAACATATTTTAAAAGAGAGAGAGAAATGGGACATATGGTGTCTATCGCCACAGAGCACTTAGTGTGGCAACAACTTAAAATGTATAGCCTGTACTTATAGAAACGTGGGAAGACTGTTTGTCCACTCAGCCACGGAGCTGGGTTGCCCCCCTCCCCAGCTCTATTAGGGCCGACAGAGCCAGACTGATGTCCTCATCAGCTGGCTAGATCACGTTGACTTTAACTGAGTTGGTTTTAGAGATTTCGTTTGCCAAGTGCCACTTTCTGTCCACATGTGTGTCTTTAGGGGCCTGAGAAGCTTAATTTTTTTCACTGAGGGATTGATTAGTTAATGAGTTGGTGCATTTACACCTTGTCTCATTCTGCAAAGAATTCGAGGCAGCTTTCAGGACATGTGCCTGTGTTAGATAATCACGGCTGGGAGAGTATAAATGGAAGCGGGAGGTGGGCTCGGGGAAGGGACACAGGTGCACGGCCCTCGCCAACCCAGGTGCCTGGGCCTGATACGCCCTGGTTTCTGGAGTGAAGTAAAACAACAGAAATTCTCACTCTCGAGTACGAAGCAGAAATCTGAGCATCTCAGAGAAGCCAAACTCTTCCAAGCACTTAGCTCCAAAAGGAATTTCCTTACCTGCAGAAATCCTTTGACTGGAAACACTTCCTCCCATGCGTTGCCATATGCAAAAACAAAACAGTTCAATGAGAACACAATAGCACTGTAAGCGTGCTGGCTCGTATTTACCTCGCTTTTATGGTTACAGTCGTGGGCTTTGGAGATGGAGAGGCCTGAATTCAGGCCTCCGCTCTCTTTCCGCCTCACTGTGTAGTCCTGGGCGAGTTGACTTCTCTGTGCGTCAGTCCTCTCATCTGGAAGATGGGACCCACTCAGGGGATTGTGGTGTGAATTAACTGTCATCATGTATACGACACTTAGCCTAGGACCCAGTGTGAGGTCGGCCAGGGTTAGGGTTCTTAGTAGTATTGGTTTAGAGTCTAAAAAATTCTTCCATGGCTTCTATATTTGCATTAAACCATAGGTACAGCCCAGGGCCCTTAGAACATTTAATACTTTTCATCCCTATCATCATAATGACACATTATATGCACAAAATAACACACAATTTTTATCTGAGAAAGTAGGTGAAGAACCGTTATTTCTTTATACGGAGTCCCCTTGTCTGCTTATCTGTAGCCACTCTGCTGGAGCCGTGCTCGGTGTCAGGGTACGACAGTGACTGTGGTCAGGTTGGAAGACCCTGTGGGAGGGGCGGAGGGTTCCCCAGAACCTCAGAGCGGGGACCAGAGGGATCTGGGAGTGTTTTCCAGAGGAGGAACCCTTGGGTGAAGAGTCGGGTGCCTGGGAACCAGCTCAGGCACAGAGCAGGGACCAGAGCGAGGAGGAACAGGATAACGGAGTCGTGAGCAGAGCGGTGGCAGAATCACAGAATCACAGCTGATGGGCTGTGTCTGGGGCAGGGATGTGGCTGGCGAATGGGAAGCAGGGAGGCCAGTGAGAGGGGCCTGTGAGCCCTGCAAGCTGTGAGGAACGGGACCCCGAGACCTGGGCAGCAGAGCGCACGTGGAGCAATTATTGAACTGTTCTCCCAGAAAGTGACATCTGCTCTGTTTCCTGCCTAGGACACAGCATGATGGACACATTGGCTGTTGCCCTACGCGTGGCCGAAGAGGCCATCGAGGAGGCGATTTCCAAAGCAGAAGCCTATGGGGACAGCCTGGTAATGGACCCCCTCATCTTCTCAGGGGAGCTGTGGGTCAGGGTCCTGGCCACCGGGAAAAAGTGTCACCATAGCCATCCTTGACTGGAGCGGTGCCCAAGCTCCCCCTCCCACGAAAGTGATTGCCGCCCCAAGCCCCAAGCCCCAAGCCCCAAGCCCGCCCACACAGCCTTTCTCCCCCTCCCTCTGCAGGACAAGCAGAACGAGGCCAGTTACTTGCGGGACCACAAGGAGGAGCTGACGGAGGAACTGGCCACAACTATCTTGCAGAAGGTAGGTGACCCTGGCCTGTGATGACTGCAGTTTACCACCTGGCCCAGAGCAGGGCCTCCAGCAAGCTGTAGAGCAGCACTGGCACGTCTCTGTGCCTTGTCACGTTGCCTTCCGTGCTCCAGTGGCGAATGCGGAGGGATCGCCCTGCAAAATCAAGACGGGGGATGGGGTGTGGTTGCCTTTAGGGATTGAGCTAGTGGGTGGGGAGCCAGGAACTCAGCACTGAGCAGTGCTCCCTGACTTCCTGTTCCCCAGGCTGTGTGTGCATGTTCATGAGTGTGTGTGTGCGTGTCATCTTCTCACACTTCTCAAATAGTCTTTTGCTGAAGACATTTGCAGTCACCTCCTGCTAGCTACGCACCCTAAACTGTCCCTTACATGGTGTACCGGTAATGAGCACTTAGAAACCAACCACCCCAAAACTCTGTGGCTCCAAACAGGATCATTCCTGTTTGACAGCCAGTTCTCCACCCCCTCCCATTCATTTCAGCTCTGACACCAGTCAGAGGTGGCACAGACCCCGCAAGTGAAGGGCTCAGTCCGCTTTGGGTGCCAGCGAAGCCTCGGGACTCTCCACGTCACCCACTTCTGTCCAGCCTGCTACAAACTCAGGGAGTCCCAGGACCCCTCCCCTCAGGTTGGACAGTTTGCCAGAACAACTCACAGAACTCAGGAGAGTGTTACACTTACAATTACTTCTTTATGATAAAAGATACACGTGAACAGCCTGGTGAGGAGATAATAGGACCACAAGGTCTGTGGAATGGGTGTACACATTTCCCATGCCCTCTGTGCCCGCCACCCTCCCACACGTCAATGTGTGTGCCCGCCAGGAAGCTCCCCAAGCCTCACTGTTCAGCGTTTTTGTTTTTGTTTTTTTATCCTCACCCAAGGACATTTTTCCATTTTTTGTTCAGGTAGAGTGGGAGGGAGAGAGAGGAACAGAGAGAGAGAGAGGGAAACATCGATGTGAAAGGAACACATCGAGTGGCTGCCACCCGCACAACCGACCAGGGCCGGGGACAAACTGCAGCCGAGGTACGCGCCCTTAGCGGGAACCGAACCCGGGTCTCTCCGGACCGCAGGCCGACGCTCTAACCGCTGAACCAAACCAGCCAGGGCTGTTCAGCGTTTTTAATAGCGGTTTCGTTAAGTAGGCAAATTGCCTAAATCATTGACCCCCTGCGTGAATCGATCTTTAGTCCCTGTCCCCTCCCCAGAGGGTGGGGTGGAGCTTAACGTTCCTTGGTGTACGTGGTTGGGTTTAAATTTTTTTCAATTACAATTGACTTGCGGTATTATGTTAGTTTCAGGTGTACAACATAGTAAGTAGACATTTATATAATTTACAAAGTGGTCACCCCAATAAGTTTAATACCCGTCTGGTACCATACACACTTATTACAGTATGATTGACTGTATTCCGTGTCGACTTGACATCCCCGTGACGATTTTGTGACGACCAACTTGTGCTTCTTCATCCCTTACCTTCTCCACCCAGCCCCACCCCGTCCACGCAGGCAGTCATCCGTCTGTTCTCCATCTATGATGCGCTTCTGTTTGGTTCGCTCGTTTACTCTGTTTTTGAGATTCCATGTGTAAGTGAAACTGTGTGGCATTCGTCTGTCTCTGTCCAGTTGTTTTCTCGTAGTCACCAGTCTCCCTCCATCGAGTGGCCCTGGCCCCGAACCACCTCATTAGCATAACAGACGCACTCAGCACTCAAAATATTTCAAGGAGTTTTCGAAGCTCTGAACCAGGGATCCGTCTAACAACACATCTATTTTTTGTCGTACCACAATTTCTTTCTCACGCACACTCTATAGTGGCCCCATCCAAGGGCGGGACCAGGTCTGTGCAATATGTTCCCTCTGGGGCCCTACTGAGGGCACATCAGCTACTTGTGGCCACGACAGAGCACCAGACAGCCAGAGGAAGCCAGTGACGTCCATGAGGGCCTAGGCCAGCCCTGACACTGCTACCCACTCCCTCCTCACGTGTCATTGGCCCAAGCCAGGCACGCAGTCATCACAAGGTCAAGGTGGGAAGCACACCTGACCCTGAACACCATAGGGGTTGGGTGTGCAGTCGAAAATCTATGTGTAATTTAAGTCAGAATCCCAACTGCAGTAAGGAGAGTCCAGTTAACCCTTGAACAACGTGGGTGTGAACGGCATGGATTCACAGATACGCGGAGTTTTTAAATCTGCACGTAAGTAGACCCGTGCGGTTCACACCTGTGTAGTTCAAAGGTCAACTGCATATCCTCCCTGTCCTGGGAGGCATGCAGAGTCACGCAGAGGGCTGTCTGCAGGGAGCATGGAACAAAGTCAGTCTTCCCTTTTGGTCACAATAATTTGTGTCCCTTCCACATGCCACATACACTCATCGTACCCAAAGACCCCCAAATGTCTCATTCAGTCACAGATCAAAGTATATTCGATTCAGACTCAGTTCCTTTTAAGATGGAGACCTGTGACCTAAGCAAACGAGTCACCTGTCCCCACATATAAGCTTACAGTGCTGCACAGGGACAGAAGGCAGCACTGCCCACCTGCAGACGGCAGGTGACTGGTCCACAGCAGTTCTGAAATCCCGCTGGGCACAGTGCCAGGTCCCCACTCTGGAGGCGAGGGATGTGCCTTGATTAGACCAGGGCTGTCCCTGGGAATGACCGCAGTCCATTGCTCTCCTTGGCGCTCAGCCGTCCTCTTCATCATCCCGTTGGTCTAAAAAGGCCTTGAAGAATGTGCCCATGTTGGTGGCTCGGCAGTTTTCTCAGCTGTTTCCTGCCAGTAGGAAGTTGGGAGCCCAGAGACTATCATACAAGTGGACTCATTAGATCCACGTGGCCTTGCCCAACACAGCACGTGGTTCAAGCAAGCTGAAGCCCACCCTGATGACTCCCGGTATCCATCTGCCCCCTTCATAGGCCTCCCCAGTGCTTCCTAAAAATCAAGATTTATAGCCGAGACTCTGGTTTGAGATCCAGCTCCACTATTCATGAGCTGTGCGTCCTAATCTGATAACTTAACCTCTCTGAGGCCGTTTCTTCATCAGTAAAATGGAGACAGTCACAGTCGGTAGCTCTTAGCAGTATTGTGAGGATCCGATGAGGTGCAGCATCTGTGTGCCTGGCCCAGAGTCTGGCGCATGAGAGGCACTGAAGAGACAGAAGTCATTACCATGATAAAATGATACTTATAAACTGCAAAGAGCTGTAGCATGTTCAAGGCTATAGCTGTGCTGTTTCATCATCAGACAGAACTGAAACAGGCTGACGTTCTGTTTTGTGCTTTTTTATCCTCAACCAAGGACATTTTTGCATTCATCTTTAGATAGAGCTGGAGGAAGAGAGGGAGGAAGAGAGAGAGAAGCATTGATGTGGGAGAGACACATCGAATGGTTGCCACCCACACGATCCCAACTGGGCTAGGGACAAACTGCAACCGAGGCACGTGCCCTTAGCGGGAACGGAACCCAGGTCTCTCCGGTCTGCAGGCCAAAGCTCCAACCGCTGAGCCCAACTGGCCAGGGCGGGCTGGCATTCTGTCTAAACTAAGCTCTCGCGTGGCTGAAAGAAAAACCCCAAAGCTGGTCCCGGCACCCACCTAGATCCAGAGGCCTCTCCGGTAACTCGCCCCTCTGTCACCCTCCTCCCCAGATCGTAAGAAAACAGAAGAGCAAGAGTGAGCAGCACATGGAAGGAGAGCCAGAGTGGCCACAGCCCCGGAGCGGCAGCGCGAAGGCGGCTGGCGAGGGGACCGCCGCCCCCCCAGGAGGCCACCACGCTGCCAGCACCCTCTGGGTGAGTCTCCGAGCAGGGACTCAGGTGTCCTGCACGCCCGCCCGCAGAAACGGGGACGGCACGCTTACCCACCCGCCACTGACCCGTGTGCCCAGCAGACAGAGTAAAGGGTCCTGAAGGGCCGTGGGCAGGGGGAGACCCCAAGTGTGAGTGAGAGCCGGGGGCAGCGGGGTGAAGAGGAGAGAGAGAGAATAAGCACACAGCCTGGCGCAGAACACGGAGCGGCTCTTACCCGGAGACCAATTTAGGAAAAGTAAAGATGTCCATAGGCAGTTCTGATTCATTCTGGAAAGAGTTGTACTGAGTCCCCTGAGGAGGAAAAAAAAAAAGCTTTATCAGGGAGCTCACTTGCTTTTCCAAAACCGAAAAGTGACCATGAGACCGTTGCCGCTGTCCTACGACCCCCAGAATGGCCACCTCGAGACGGAGTCGGGAGTCGGGGTGGGGCTCAGCCTACTTGTCGGTCACCTGAGCCGAAGCCGGGGTGGGCTCACCAAGCACACTGGCTTTTCTGTGACCCGGGGGATCTGGGCCTGCTCATGCCTGTGGTAGGGCACCCGGCCTGGCACATCCCGGGTTATTTGAGTAAGCAGCCCCGCAGAGGACCGGCAGGGTGCTGGCAGAGATGGAGGGACAGGCCAGCAGGGCTTGGGCTCCGTCAGTACCGGTGCCAGCAGTCAGCACGGGGCAAGGACCACACTCAGGTGCAGAGTAAACCTGGGAAGTCAGACGGGAGCAGCGCCTCGTGTTCACCCCGCTCCTCCCGGGGTCCGGGGCCTGCATCCCCTACCCCGGCGGAGTGCAAGGGCGGGCAGCGGCCAGGGGCAGGCACGCCGTCTGGAGGGACGCCCAGTAGCCTCGCCTGCATAAACTCTCCCCGGCCTCACCGTCACCGGATGCTTGGGGTGACCAGGAGGATCTTTGTGGCTTTATGAGAGATTTCACTTTGTTGATCGATGGCAGGTCGGATTAGGGAAGCAGGTGGCATAAGAGACAGCTCCGGTGGGCGCTCCGCTCCAAGGCTGAGTCTGGAAGTGGCACTGGGATTCAGAGAGGGGAGGGTCCCACGGTGGAGGGCGCACATGGCCTTCATGTAGCCTGTCACTCAGGTCACTGACTCCGCCCTGCTGTCCTGGTTCAGACGGGGTGCAGGAGTCACGCTGCCTCTGGGGAGTCTTTGAGGAGTATTTTCTGCACACTGAAAGAGTGGAGTTTGGGGGACGCTAGGAGGTGGGAACTGCCGCAGAATCCCGGCCTCGGCCTTGAGCCGAGGGGGTCAGAGGCGAGTCCGGGGAGCTTGGGCTCTGCCTCTGGCCCTTCTCGGGGTGGGATTCTGGATTTGCCCTTGACTAGGACCGTGAGCAACTGTTTAGTTCCTGTCTGTGAAGCGGGGATGAGAAGACCGGTCCCGAAGGATGGCGGTGAGGACTCCTGGTGCAGCCCCCTCAGCTCTTATTGAGCTCCTGCTGTGTGCAGGTGCTGTGCTGGGGCTGCCGGGACGGGGCCCCTGGGTGCGGTGGGCTCCACCGTGCTGGCAATGGGACACCATAAACACAAAAGCCAGAGAGAAATACAGGGGTACACGTTCCAGTCATTGTCGAGACGAACGAAGAGGGTGCGGGGGAGAGAGGGCTGGGCAGGGAGAGTGGTCCTGGGGGAGTCAGGGAGAGACCTCCCTAGGGGTGACCTGAGACGAAGGCTTGGCAATGGGAGACATGGGGGCAGCGGGAGGAAGGGCATTCCCGCGATGGGTGCCCCGCGCACGGAGGCTCTGAGCAGGAGGGAACTGAGCGTGCTCAAGGGCGGAAGCGCGGTCTAGAGGGCGGGGACGAAATGAGAAGTGGACACCGGCCACCTCGCACGTAGGTGTCAGCCCCTCGGTGACAGCTGTTGTCCTTGGTAATGTTACCTATTTCCACATTCACAATCAGAGTCACTGCATCATCAAGGCACCCTGGGAGTTTGGAGAGGGACCATGTTTCGGTCAGCCGGCTCCAGGCCCGGAGAGCAGTGGCTGTCTGTGTATCACTGACCTGCTCTGAGTCACAGGCCCCCCGCCCCCCACCAGACTGGCCCCCACTTTGGGTCCTCACAGGTGCTACCTCCCCTTCCCTCCCCGACACAGCCAGATGGCATCATCTTCTCTTCCACTGTCCACACTCACCCACTGGATGCCCGGCCACCCACTGCACCTGGGCTGCCCTGCTTCCTGCGGGAGGCCGGCGCCCCTTCCCTGACCCCGTCCTGCCCCCTGCACTGAGGAGACCGCGGTCCAGATGTTTCCTGTTCATGAGCCAGCTGCAGATCTGAAGTCCTTTGCAAACCCCACGAACAAAGAGGTTCAGAGCCATCTGGGGAACTCGAGTCCTCATAGCAATCACAGGATTGCCAAAGAGCTGTAGGGCTAGCACGTGACCTTCCTTTAGTAAACTTGGCACGCACAGGTGTTCACACATGTCATTCGATCCGCGGGAGCATCCTGCATTATCCCCATTTTACAGAGGAGTAAACTGAGGCCTAGCGCGTCTGAGCCACTGGCTCTAAACGGAGGGGCCGGGACTAGAACCAGGTCTCCACCCTCTGCTGTCTCCTGTTTCGTGGGGAAACTGGCTGGGAAATACCTGCTTTCCCACCGGATGTTCACCGGGTCACCTTGTCGTGCCTCCGGCTAAGCCCGGACATGGTATTCCTGCCACCTCACAGAGACTGAAGGCACTGCGTGTCATTAGAGGTGGGGGACAGGGTTGTAGCACCATTAGTCACAACCGTGGGCACAGCTGTGATGACGCACCGGCCTAAAGCTGCTCAAGGTAAACAGCAGCAACTCTTCCAGGGTCCTCGCACTTGGCCCTTCCCTCCCAGAAAGACCCTGGCCTGGGAGGGGGCACGGCCCTGGGAGGGGGCATGGCCCTGGGACACGGGCACGGCCCTGGGCTGCGGGCTCTGAGGCAGGCACCTCACAGCGGAAGTCAGCATGCACAGTGACCCCCTTGGGTTCTCAGACCAGTACCTCTCGGGTTCTCTTCTCAGCAGGAAGTCTGCCTCCCACACAGCACAGTCTCCACTGTGGCTTCAACACCAAGGTAGACAGAGCTGACTCATTTCTTACTTTTTTCCTGGGCAAATAGCGGAATATGATTTATTTCCAGATTTTTGGGTATAGAATAAGGCCCAATGGAAGTCCCTCTCTGATTCTGAAGTGTCTTTTTAATCTCTTTGCAAACTATGTCCACTTCCCCAGGATGAGTCCACTTTTGGGGAGCTGCAGGGGTGTCAGGAGAGAGGACCTGGAGTTTGTAGTTTTGGGGGGAGCCCATAAGGGACATTGGCACGCCCCTGGGGGAGCGCTCCTTCTGGCATAGCACTTCCCCCAGATCACGAGGCCTCTCAGGGGCAGTGGGCACCGTACCAAAGGGACAAGTCACTGATTGGTTCCTAGCACTACACCCTCATCCCTAACTGGATGTTTCACGGAGGAGACGCTCCGGTCCTCTCCCTGCAAGAGGGCCCTGCGCTGTGACGGGCAGCGCGGAAACCGCATGTTCTCATCCACAGTAATGGTCGGGAGAGTGAGTGCCTTGCCCTTCTGCACCCCACTGTGCTCGTGGGAACTGCCCCACGCTGGGCAGCCTGAATCTGGGAGCAAAGAGAAACCCGGCATCCGGCTGAGTCCCGGGCAAGTCTGCCCCTCTGAGCAGCCTGGTTGTCAGTGGTCACCGGCCTGACTTCCCTTGGCCAGGACCCCTAGCTCTTCCCCTCGAGCCAGCACCATAACAGGCCGGCCTGGGGCCCTTGGGGGTGACGCATCCAGTCAGCAAGGGTCAGCCTCCTCAGATGCTCCATGCAGTGTGCCTGTGCTGGACCACATCCGGGAATGGGGCCTGAGAAGGCCTGACCCTGGTTGCGCAACCTCAGGAGCCCTGTGCACCTGGGATACGGTGTGAGTGGCACCTCCCCCCAGGGTCTGTGCAGCATGGTGCCCGCAGCTCTCGCTGCTAACGAAGCCCACGGGGGAGGTGACAGAAACACCTGCTGGTTAAGGAGCAGGCACTCTGTTTTCCATCCAAGATGGGGACACAAGTATCGTTAAACCCATTTTATAGATGAGGAAACTGAGGCTGATGCTTTACATCACTTACCTGAGGTACCCACGTGCTGATTGTGGGGCCGGGCATTGGATACCCTTTTCCTGCTCCAAAGCCCTTGATCTAGCTTCCTCCTCTGTAAAGTGTGATCACTGGGCTCCGTGATCTCTAAGCTCCCTTTCGGCTCAGAGATTCTGGGGCTGCACTGTCCAGTACAGTGGCCAAAGATGCAAGTGACTATTCAGATTAATTAAAATTAAATTAAAAATCCAGTTCTTTGGTTGCACTGGCCACATTTCAGGTGCTCAGTAGTATCAGTGGCCAGCGGCCACTACCTTGGACAGTGCAGACATGGAACATGTCCATCATCCCAGAAAGGTTGATTGCACAGCCCGGGTCCAGGGCTTTAGATAAACAGAAGGCACAAGACAGAGCTGTGTCCGACACTGTCCAGAGCCTGGATGTGGAGCAGCAGGCCGAGTCCTGGTCCTTGGGGACTTCACGGAAGGTGGCTGACCCTCCTTCCCAGGAGCTGTTCCGGCACGGGCCGGTGAACACGGCCTCCTGCGGGGGATCTGACACGGCGTCTGGAGTGAGGCCTGAGCACCCGCCGCTCACCAGCAGCTCCCGGTGATGCCAGCAGGCTGCAGGCCTAAGAAGGGCCTGTTTGTGACACCTTGAGGGGACTCCCTGACCTCCACACCAGCAGGGCCCTCCAGTGGCCTCCCAGCAGTGGGTACGCCTCTTTCCTCCGTCCTCCAACACCTGGGCACCTGTGGCTCGGGAGTAACTGTGCCACTCCTTGGCTTCACTGCAAAACCCACATTTAGTCCACCCCATTCAGTCAGGATTTCTCATCTGTTTTCTTGAAAGGAGGTTCAGTGTGATTGTTCCCTTTTTAATTTCCTCCGTCAT